TGCTCAGCAGAACTGATCTGAACAAGTTGTTTGTTATATATGTCCACAGTTTGATGCATGTTTCACTTTATTTTTGGGCTGGAACTGCCTGTGAAGTGTTTTCTGTGACCCCTGTAATTTCTATGTCTTTGCAAAAAAATTCTGGAAAATTATTCATAACAGCATTATGAAGAGCACAGTATCTGACTTATGGGTCACTTACTGTCTGAGTCTGAAGCTATAAAATTTTCCATATAATGGTTGATCACTTCCTCCTTGCTTATGATACAGTATTGACTTCATAACTGCATGTAATTTTAGAGTTGGTGCATTACATTTGCAAAGGTAGAGGCATTCAGCACAGAAATTACAGAATTGAGAAGGATTATGGTTGTAAAGTAACTCTGTGTGTACGTGCACATGCATGCACTCATGCATGTTTGTGTGTATGTATGATTTACAATTGACTTACAGTTTCCTCTGAATTTTGTGTGTTTGTGTGTGTGTTTAACTTGAATTCAAAACTTATAATTTCCTCTTTGAATTGATATCAAAATAATTAACATTCTCTACATTAGAGAAGATTTAATATTTAACTTACAGTTGGTGAACCTGGCCTGCGATTACACAAGATCATGTCTGGGACCTGAGCGACCTGAACCCCAGGGCACATCAATGTGCAACAGTACTGTAGCAGATAAATGTGAAGTCTATGTATGTGGCAGCAATTCCTCACATCAGGTAAATTCTGGGTCACATATGTAACTGGAAATTTCTTGCAGGCAACTAAACTCAAGCTCTTGTAGCAGTAACACATTTATGTGTGTAAGACTGTTTTCAGTCAGTAGCCTATAAATTGTACTATAGAATATTACACAATGTGCTCTGTATACCTGTTAATCTTGTTAATTTAATTTCCATGTATAGAAACAAACAACATTTAATTATATCTGGATTGTTGGGTTCATGGGCTCTGTTCTTCATCTGATGTAAAAAATTACAAAATGATTTTGAGGACTGGATCCATCGCCATCTTCAGGTATGGTGAAGGGGAAGGGCGCCTACTCTGTGAGGCCCATTAGATTGAGCTAATATCAATCACTGATTGAGAACGATCCCAACAATCCAGATTGTATTGCACCATTGTCAGAACCCTTCAGAATAGATTAAATTGTATGGTCAAGGTTTTGTTTTATAAGATGTTTTGCTTAATCTAAAGTTTTTAATCTAGTATTGTATCGGTGTTTTCAGTGAAGTTTTTGGATTGAATCTTTCACTTGGCAATTCTCATTAAAATAGAGAAATAATTAATAAATTTGGACTACATTAGACAGTCAGGGATTGTATTTTATTTTGAGATATGTAACATTTTATAAGGTATTTTATGATTTTGTACACATAAAGAATACCCAGTCATTTATTGTTGTTTAATCTCCTAATACTGTATATAGTGTAAATAGAAGAAAGGAGAGAACCAATGTGATTAGTTGTAATGGTGGTATCATGGAAACCTGGCTGAGAACTACTGTTACTGAGAAGTATATTGTGTCTGTATATGACGGAAGAACTGTTCCTCAGGTTGCAGAGGAGAGTCAGGAGAAAATCCTGGTGCCCCGTCTTTCAAGGGCATTTACTCAGGTACAGCAAGTAGAAGCTGGCCAATACTGTTCCTTCATTATCCACACAAATGGAACTCTTAGTGGATGTGGTAAGGGAAGCTATGGTCGTCTTGGCCTGGGAGACTCCAACAACCAATCACAGCCCAAGCTAGTGATACTTGATGGCACTGTTAAGAAGGTGTGTTCATCAAAAGGCAGTGATGGCCATACACTGGCACTTACAGATGATGGCAAGGTCTTCAGCTGGGGTGATGGTAAATATTCTACATTTATGAATTTTACATGATTTGCTGAATGACTTTTCTCAGTGTTTGTTCTTTGATTTGGATGTACCTGCTAGCTAAATTTAGTCTTGATCTGAAATATCAGATTTTTAAAAAAATGTTATGAAGTGAACATTGTGTAGAAATTAATCATGTTCGTGACAACACACCATTGTTAAAACCATTCAGATTAACCAACATTTTTGTTTTGAATTAAAATACATTTCATTATTTGTTGTTGTAGAGAGTTGTTAAAAACATATCAACATTTTTGACTATCAGAAATTACAGAATGTCATACACATCAGGGATACAGACATAGAGATAGATTTCTTTATACAGCCAACTCTTTTTCTTCTTCTTCTATGGCTCTCCGGTCCGTATTCGGTCAATGACCTCCTCAATTCTCCTCTTCCATTCGGTCCTTCTGTTAGGTCCGTCTGTCCGAGGTTGTGGTTTCGAAACATCTTCTTTTTTATGGTGCAAGGTTGTTAGCCTTGCGACCAACCCCCAACCTGGAGGACCAGGGTACCTGTCTTAGTCTAACCTCTCCCCCTCGACCAATCTGGCTAGGGAGGCTCTACCAGTAGCTATGCTACCGCCACTGAGGTACTCATGCCCTACCACCAGGACAAGGTGCAGGTACCATTAAATGGGGATACAGCTAACTCTACTTCAGTGTTTTGTGTCTATATTTTTCAGATTATAAACTTTCCCAGAATATTTATCAGCACAGGAGACTTTTTTGGTTCTCCTGTTGGAAGAAGATTCTAGCTAGCTTTCATGTTTGTGATTTCAATCCCTTTGATATTCTCGTATTGTTTATTTATTTTTGGGACAACTTTTACATGACTGACTTTACCAAGATTTTCCTTTTAAAGAAAAAGTGTTGTTGTGCTCAGACATGTTTATGTTTGTGGTCTTGACATATTTAATGTAAACATATGGATAAATTTCTACATTGTAGGGGATTATGGTAAATTGGGCCATGGAAATTGCACCACTCAGAAACAACCACGACTAGTGGGAGGAGCATTATCTGGAAGGGTGGTGAAGTTTATTCATGCTGGCTACAGACACAGTGCTGCAGTAACTGAAGAGGGTGAACTGTACACATGGGGCGAGGGGGACCATGGACGATTAGGTATTATAATATAATGTAGTGTAGTACTTCGATAATAAATACAATGTATTGTTAAGCTTCTGACTCTGATATCAACTCAGCAAGCTTCAGATTGTTTGAAAGGCTTTCTAATTGTCATATTTGATAGCACCACTCAGATTCCTTAGCTTTGGGACTCTGAGACATGCTTGAGGTGTTGTAGTTTGTCGCTTAAAAGTGACGGCACAAGTTTCTGAACTTTGTGTATACAAGAATGCTTCTCTCTACTTTTGTTTAAGTCTTGCAGTAAATTGTTTAAATTAACTGTTCAAACTCTAAGATACATTTAAAATGTAGTTTTTAATGTGGTTGCCAGGTATAAAATAATTATTAATTTGTGAGCACAGTATATTTGCCAGGTAAGTAATCTTTAAATTAACTGGTTCAGAACATACAAGTACATTACTTTCATTGGATTTTAGTTCCTTAAATTGTGTTCATTGGTTCATGTTATATAAGGGCTTCTTTTCACAGGTAGGATTTGAGGTTTTCATCATGTGAATATAGGTGCAGTCTTTGGGTGGTTGTGCTGTGTAGTATTTTGGTTATATGCAATGTTTTGCAGGAGCATATTCTTCTGTCTTCAGTCCTCAGAATCAGTGGCATACAGCCAGAATATTACAACTGATGATGAAAACGTAATTTTAATTACTTAGGAAATTGTTATTTTGCACTAGTTTTGCTTTATATCATATAATAAATGCATTTTGAAATTTATTTTTGGCTGGAAATGTTGCAGACTAGTAAGTATAAAATCTTCAATATTGGGAATTGTAATTACATCACCCTTTCTATTGAGGATGCAAAATAAATTTATTTCTGTTACTTTAATTTTATTTTGAGCAGTAGATTACACATTTAAAAAAATCTTACTTCTTTTTAAGGCCATGGCGACTATAATGGACGTAACATGCCTACATTGGTTCGAGATCTGAATGGTGTTGGGTCAGTATCATGTGGAAGTTCTCATACAATAGCTCTGTCTGCGGATGGGAAGACTGTGTGGTCATTTGGTTCTGCAGACAATGGCAAACTTGGCCATGGGGACACACAAAAGACTCCACACCCAAAAGTAATAGAAGCTTTGCAGGGGCTTTATATAAGAAAAGTGGCAGCAGGCAGCCAGTTTTCCCTAGCTCTTACAAGCAATGGGCAGGTAAGACTTATTTTTAGCTGATAGTTTCCATATAACTTGGTTCTTTTTACAGTAAGCATTTGTTTGTGTAAATAATTAAAAATGGAATAATTTTTCAGCATAATGTAAATGCAGATGGCTGTTTTCTGGGTCGTTGCGCCATGTATTCTGGTAGAAGTTTACAACCCAACAACCCAGAAAATGGCCATCCTCAGACTTATTGCCATGAAAACCTCAGATCCTACTCATGTAAATGCAGTTGGATTGTGTTGTTTGTAATGACTTGCACAGAACTTCCAAAAATACTTATTTACCATGTAATAACCATGTACATTCCCTTCAAGAGTGAGATGTAAAAGTTCAAAGAACACAGAAACTCTGTGCTGCAAACTGATGTATGTACTCATATTTAATTCTTGACATATATCTTCATTGGTTTACAGTAGAGTTTCTGTGTTCTTTATGGCATTGATGTTTTTATCACATCAAAGATAATGAATGAAAGAGTGATTTGTTCCATTCACTTCCATTCTGTACTCATGATAATCATGATTATGATGAGATACAATATAAAATTAGTTTTCTTATCATCTTATATACTTCAAATTGAAGTACAGCGCTGAAGATACACTTGTGACACAGTAATTAAATTGAGGTCCCAATTGTGTTATCTCTGTTTTGGAAAAGAGAGGAGGTTCAGAATTGAGTCTGCATATTCAAAGGATAAACTTCGTGAAATTAAGTGTACATGTATTGTATGAATGAGTGAAGCACGGTTGTTGTGTTATGGACTTTTATATGTGAAACTTAATATTCCCTACAACACTCTATGTTGTTTTAATTGCAGTTGTATTCATGGGGTTATGGAGCGTGCTTGGGCATTGCTGCAAGTGAGATGACGTCTCTGTTACCGCAATTAGTAGAAGACTTGTCAGCAGTAAGGATTGTTGATGTAGCAGTAGGAGATTCCCATATTTTAGCATTGACAAATGACAGTGAAGTATTTTCTTGGGGAAATAATTCCATGGGACAGTGTGGTCAAGGTCATTCAAGCAGCCCGATAACTCGACCACGAAGAGTGCTAGGACTGGAGGGAGTTCCTGTGAATCAAATGTCAGCTGGTACATCACATAGTATCTTTTGGACTGCTTCACCTTCTGACAGGTTTGTTATTGCACCAAGTTTCTCAGTTACATGTGAAGCATGGTTAAATGTAGATTTTGGGAAGTGCAACTGCGTTATGAGATTTAATCACTGATTGTAGCTGTTTTCTGTTTTCAGACAAGTTGTAACTTGGCATCGACCTTTCTGTGTGGACCTCCAGGAAGGCACATTCTCTTTACTACATTCCTTTCTTGAAAAATATTGCAGTGGTTTTAATCAGGAATCTTGTTTGCCACCTTTTCCAACATTTGGGTAATTATAAGTTTTTATTTATTGCCAGTTACTACTTAGCATAATGGGAAAGATTTTCCTGTGCATAATTCCTTAATTTATGAAATTATTTTGTTTATATCTTTACTTTGAAAAATAATCAGGTAATTCAGGATAAGGTTACTACAAGTCATAGCTGTTCTCTGTGATGAAATTCAGACAGAGTAAATATGTTTTGTTTTTCTTTGAAGATCTTGTGGTTTGAATGAGAAATTATGCTTTACAAACAGTTCAAAATTGACATTTTGTGTTTTCTTATACTTGGTCCAACAGATTAGGAAGGATTTTTGCCATTTTCTTTATTTCGTGGTTAATTGTATAATGAGTATTACTTCTACATTTTTAATTTGACTTGACTTTTTTATTGCAAGACATTCTGTTTTAAAAGCTCTGCTAAAATATTGTTATGTAGTATAAGTATACTGGTTATGATTTTAGGGAGCATCACCAATTTGTTCTCCTGTGCCTGAAATTATTATGTACACATTTGTCACTGGCACTAACTGGAGGCCTTGCTACATCTGTTCTGGGTAAACAGGCCAGACCACTTCGTCATTTACTCTTCAGGTCAGTAAGCTATTACTCTTACAAATTATTCGAAGTATGATAATTGATAAAAGTTCTGCATTGATAGCTTCACGTTAGTAATTCATGGAAGCAGTATGATTTGCAAATTTAAGAAAAATATAATTTTCTGTAAACATTATTTTGAAATGCTATGTTAGGTATTAAAGTAAACACAGTGACACAAACATTACACTCATCATTATTTGAAACTACAGTTGTTTCACTGTGAACATATTTTAATTTTGCATATGCAGACATAGTTGTGACAAGCCTTAATTTTTACTAAACCTTGGAAAGTATGTACATATATTCCTAACATTGCATTTGTTTTTAGCTGTTTTTAAACATTTCCCTTTAGGCTGGTGGATATTTCAACACCAACTAGTGTGAAAACTGTTGTAAGTGAAACACTTGCTATTGGTGCCCCGTTGTTGCTCCCTCCACTGAGGGAGCGGATGGAATTGCTGCATTCACTACTTCCACAAGGACCTGACCTCTCCAATGGCCAGGTGATAAATGATTTTGTAGTATATCAGAGCATTAAAGTGTAGCAATTAGACCACACACACTTGTACAAACATCTTCCAAATAGATTTCTGTCTTCTGGATTGTTGCACAGTGTAGTCTGGTCGATGTTTACCAACGTTTCAGAGGGCATACTGCCTCCGTCATCAGGGCGATGACGGAGGCAGTATGCCCTCTGAAACGTTGGTTAACATCGACCAGACTACACAGCGCAACAACCCAGAAGACGGAAATCTTCATACTCATCGCTGTGAAAACCTCAAATCTTACATCTTCCAAATAGATTTCTGTCTTCCTAATTGTTGCGCAGTGTAGTCTGGTCGATGTTTACCAACGTTTCAGAGGGCATACTGCCTCCGTCATCAGGGCGATGACGGAGGCAGTATGCCCTCTGAAACGTTGGTTAACATCGACCAGACTACACAGCGCAACAACCCAGAAGACGGAAATCTTCATACTCATCGCTGTGAAAACCTCAAATCTTACATCTTCCAAATAGCTACCAATGAAACAGTCTGTGGCTTGACTGCTATAGATGATTTTTTTCTCCCCCATTTACATAGTCATGTCTTCAGATAAGAAAAAGGGATGTTTCTGCTTTCAGTTTAGAGTTTGTTGTGTCCTTTCTAAATAGTTTGCTGTGGCTTTGTCAGATGTAAGATCTTTCAAAAAAACAGTAAAATGTTTTTATTTTCATGTGAAAAATGATACACACACTTTGCTGGAGGGCCAGATTTACAGTGACAGATCTTTGTGTTACCCAAAAGAGTTTTTTTTTTTTTAAGTTTAGGCCTGCTGTGTTCAGACAAATAAGCACATAAAAATTATTCAAATATTTTAATGTCTGCTGTGAATATTGTGCCTTCTATTGCAGAAAATGTTGCTTGGTATTATCTTAACAAGCCTTGAGGATCACAGTCATGTATCATCATTGCTTGGCTATAGTTTCTCTTCAGAGTCAATGGGTCGGCTAGGAAGTCAAGACCTACATCTGGCTGAAGTTCTTATGAAGACACTACTACAGAATCTCAGCTTCAACACGGTATGCACCTGCACCCGTCCAGAATGCTATTGCAGTATATGTGTTATTACTGACATAATATTGGTCCTTATATATATTAGCTGTTTGATGAATATTGTTTTAAGACAAACTGCTGTACAGTGATGGCTGAACAATGCCCATTTTATAAATGGAAAGCTACCAGATATCTCTCTTCATAAGAAATAAATCAGCAAAGTCATTTTAACATTTTCAGTTTAGATCTCATTTTGAGTAGATGCATGACCAAACACATATTTTACTATTATGTCTTTAAAAATAAATTGAATAGTACATACAATGCAAATTGAATAATTTTAAATTTTATGAGGTATTGCTCATTCCCCATCCAGTTCAGAGACTGAATAATCAGCTACCCATCCAGGTCCTTACTTGAAGTTAGGGTGGATCATTTAGTTTTCCCTTAATTGTTGAATATCTCAAAATAATAGAGGGAAACTGCTTCAGTGGCATAACAGACAATATTTTGAACATCTTGGAACAGTATTAAATTTGTCAGATCAAACTCTCAGGAACAATGGACTGGTTTTAGAGAGTGTGGAGCAGGTTCTTTATTAAAATTTCCCAGTATGTTTGGTCTGGATAGCTTTTGAAGATATAATTACAGAGGATGTGAGGAAAGTGCTTAAAATAAGAAATACTCACCAGGTAATTATTCCTGGAGGTCTCACTTCAATTTTGCAGCCTCTGGATGTGTGCATCAATAGACCTATTAAGGCCCACATAAAAGTTCTATACATCAATTGGATGGCAGGTGGTGGGGATGAGACACCTTCTGCGAGAATTAAGCGACCTGAACTCGGCCAACTTTGCAATTGAATAAAAATTTGCTTGGTCCCGTATTTCACCATGGTCAATTGAAAAAAGCTTTAAGAAATGCGGGATTTCAAATAAATTGGATGGGACTGAAGATGACTCAATTGTGGGACATGGAAAAAGATTCTGAGGGCTCCAACAATGATCTGTTCAGTGATGAAGAAAGCAGTTCAGAAAAATTATAGTTCTCATGAGTAATACATTTATTTACTAAACCTCTGTATTGTACAAGAAACTGAAAATAATAGAATTGACCTGGCCTTGCAGGGTCCAGTACTGCTGTTTTCAAGCTTTCCATTACCTGGAAGGAACAGCCTCTTACATCCTTTCACCATTGCCTTTATGTTCAAATATGTTGAATTTTCAATAAAAATGTGTGTGTATATATATATATATATATTACTTCCTCGAAAAATGGGTGTGTTGCTTACACGAGTGCTTGGGGTACTTGAGTAAATATGGTAATTTATTTGCAGTTTTATTGTTATTAAAGTCTTGAAAATTCTATATTTGATTCCAACTCCACATTGGGTGAACTGCTGCCAAATTCATGTCTTAAATTTTAGAAGATGGAGACACACATTGGGCAGATTAGGTGGTTGCATTATGTGTGTCATAGCATATTACTTCTGACTTCTGTTGTGCTATTGTTCATGCTGTAGGAGGAGTGTCTGAATGAACTTGAGAAGAATCTTGATAAAGGACAGGCTGAACTGGCTGCTGATTCATCCAGTCAAGTGACTCACTTACATGACTTGTTGTCATCATTGCAGACACATATACTGGCATACTGCAGTGTCAACAAACATGACTCGCCTTTAGTGAGTATATCTGCCTTCTCCTTTTTTATTTGTTTATTTATGTACCTAAGGATTACATACAGGAACCTTTTATTATACTTCTACATGTTCCTGTATTCTAGGAATTTGCACTACAGTACAAAATCCTTTCATAATGATCATTGGGTTTTGTAAGACACGATTGTAAAAGCTGCCTATTTGATATGCATAGAAGTGTAAAATTTAAGTGTTTCTTTGGGGCATTATACGATGGATTGGATCAGAATGGTACATTAATAATGGCCCTGACTTTCTTACATAATCCTGTCATTTACCCATTTTACTGGCAGTAATACTCTGATTACTCTTGTAGTTAGTTGTCCTTTCTAGCAACTGTAAACCTGATATTTGTAATATGATGTCTAATGCTGCAAATGCTGGACTCGCATAGAAGAAGGAAGTAAGAAGCAGCAAAAGTATAAAGATACATGTTTTTGTTAACATTTTTGAACAATAAAGAGAAAAACAAATACATTTATTGCTAATGACCATAGGAATGTAACTGTTGTTTAGTGCTAAATTTTGAAACACTTATTTACAAACATTAATGAAATTCAATCCAGAGCTTGGAACTACTTCTAAATTTTTGGTAATATTAATGTTTAAATAAATTTTGCACACAGTAGTATGAAGAAATAAGAATTATACCTCAGTTTTGATGTTCATGTAGATAGAATCTGAAAAGAGCATCAATTGTGAGAGATATAAAAGTGCAAATTGTGGATTTGGAGTGAAACAGTGACATCTGTCCTCATACACATAGCTCATTGAATGTTGCTGGTATGGTAACTTCAGTATATAATTATTTTGATTTATAATATAGATTAATTATGTAACATGTAATTTAATAATTATTGTACCTGTCTTGCAGCTAGTATCGAGCATTACATTACTGCAGAACCACCTTAGCATTTTGTTACCTCTAGCTTGTGGTATACTTAGGAAGGCAGCTCATATTGTTCAGAACTTCCCAAACTGCCTCAATCAGCTTTATGGTGAGTTTCCGTAACATACACTGTGCAGAATATTGGTCACATCAGATGGTAGCATTAAAATTGTTAAAAGGTGAATGTCCCAGTTATTGACAGTTGATCTCACTTAATGTCATTAAGCAGAGTTGATGTTCAAACTAACTTCAAAGGAATAATTCTAACCTTGAATGTTTCAAATACTGAAGTATGCTAAAAATTATTGCAAAAATCTTCAGATTTGATTCATAATTAAAAAATAGTTGGATTTCTTAGCTTACGGTGTTGATAACTGAGACATTTACCTTAGTTACCACTCCCAGTTCATATGCAGGCGGCCTAGGATTTAATTCTCAGTGTTTTTAGATACCTACATCAGTGACTTCTTTACTGTCCTTTTTTCATCTTGTATAATTAAAAATACATGAGAATGGTCTTTAAAGTTATGTTTCATAATTATGCAGTAAATGATAACATGGTAACATCATCACTTAAAGAGAAAAGCCCTGGTGATGGTGAAATACACTGAACTACACAGGAGCTGAAGGTTCTAAATTAAAGGAATTTGTCTTGAAACACAAGACTGTGTCCTTACATGAACAAGAATATAGCGTTCATAATTGAAAGACTGGAATTGATTGTTGACTTATTGCTGCTCTGTAGGTATCATACTTCAGTCTTTAGCAGGGGCAATGCTATCTAAGATACTGCACTCACTGCTGCTTCTGCCTGTTGCTTGTGTGCAGTCACTTTTATTTCATTTGTTGGGAATCCTGATGCCTCTAGACTGCCTTAACAGGCTTGTGCCAGAAGAAATGCAACGTGAAGAGGAGAGCAACTCATCCTCAGGTAAGTGTTCATTGTATTGTGCATGTGACTGTTTTAGGCACGTTTGCAACCCTGCAGAGTTCCTATTTAAAGAGCTCTGTCTGTATGCATGCATGTAATAACTCAAGAATAACTGAGAATGGCTGTACAGATTTCCATGGAATTTTATATTGGGGAGTTTTATTGAAATTTTTCATCACATTTTAATTTTGGTTGGAATTTGACAGTAGTCAGTTTGTATGAACACTTATGTGTGTTTCTATGAGCAGAATCACTGGGTGAGGAATCCCAAACCTGGGAATTTTCTGGCCATTCACAGATGTAAAATTTTGGGGAATATGCCAGAATCATGACACCATGCATGCACTCCTGAGTTTGTTGTGTTATTGGTCTGCTAGATGTGTTATGTGTATTTGTTAAATTTATGTATTTATTTAATTGTGAGTTTATTTATAGAGAGATGGACATGCATCTGGCTACATATAAAGTATTTCAGGGAATTTGTAAGCTTAGAGTTTTAATAGAAGACTTTCCTTTTATTGTTTAACAAAGAAAGTTTGGTGTATTGTGAAAGTTTTGCATTCTGATATCAGAACTTATTTGTTGTTTTATACTGTACTGGCACTTACCTTACTGGTTGGTTTTATGTATATTTATGATTCTTTATATTTGATGTACTTTATTTTGAGTTATACAGTGATAGCAGGGAATTAGCTATAGTGCTGCCATTGTTTAACTATGTAAAGGGAACAAAAATATACCACTAATGAAATATTTATATTGTATTGCATGTCTAAATTGGACAACTATGCACTGAATGAAGTATCCGGATACCCTGTCAAGTTTATTTAAAAATGTGTTTATTTAATTTTTCAGACATTCTTTATGATCTAGCATGAGTGAAGAAAACCTTATGGGTCCATTCATATCTGTCTCTTGCATTTTCCTTACACCTTTTCGGTCTTATAACCTTGTTGCTGAATTACTTTCTGTGCTCTTTTTAGAAGCAAATACACCAACACCTAATGATATGGCAGAACATTCTTGGGTGTGGCTAGTGGATTTAGAGAGAACTTGCAGTTTGCTGGTAGGAAAATGCCTCGGGGGCATGCTGATTGGCTCCCCATTGTCAGAAGAAGAAAGAGAAACCAGACATTGGTTGAGCAGTACTTTGTTGTCACATGGTCTGGAGAAACATTCCAGTGACCTAGGTAACCTAACTGCTAAAGATCTACTTATGTTAGGATTGTTTGGATGTGTGTGCAATTTGAATTTGAAACTATTTTCAGTTTCCATTGTAGTTTAATTTGATACAGTGAAACATTAAAAAAGATCAGTGTATGTTCCATTTGAAACACAGTTATATCTGTGTTGCTTTTAAAAGTGAAAAATCCGTAATGCAATCAAGAGTAAGCACTCATTAGTTACATCAATACTATGTCTTTTTTATGTTGTGTAGTAACTTACTTTTTTCTTTTAATGCAGTAATGCTGCTTAGAGAATTGACACATGGAGTAAAAGCCTGTAATGACGACAGTTACCGACACCTGGAAAGCATAATTAAAAAAATTGAAGTACCTGATGTAAGATTTTACCTTAGGATGGCTCTATTACCTACTCAATTCTGGGAAGTCCCCAAACACGTAGGAAATGAAAGAAGACAGATTTTACATCAGGAACAAACACTGACCCATGAATCCTTTGATGCTGCTCAAAGTTTTGAGTGCAGAGAAGATGCTGGTCTTCGGGAGGCTGTAGAGAATGTGAAAGGAGAATGTTTATATAACAGTAGTCAGGATTCCAATTACCAGCAACAGTCACCAGTATGTATAGCTGACTGCTGTACAGAGATAGATGAGGCACACCAATATTTCTGTTACTACAAAGATATGATGGAATACGCCCAATCACAGGATTGGGACACCTGTGAGGTGGAGGATGGACTGCTGTTGGAATGTGTGACAAGAGTTGTCTTAGCTGCATTACTTAAACACACTGGACTTCTTTCAGGACATGACACTAAGTATGTATTTGTACTGCATTTTTAACGTATCTTGGAAAATTTGTGCCTTTGTATAATCCATGTTAAATTTTTTGGTTACTACTGGGAATTGGATTCCAGACTATCACTTAATTTAAATGCAAGCTGAAAAAGTTAAATAATAGCTCTTATAATCACACAAACAAACATATAATTGAAGTTTTAACATAGACCCTATTGCATTCTATACCCTTCTTTCATTTTTGAAGTTAGTGAAAGATTCTTTAGGCTGGTCTCAGAGCCATTTATACAACACTGTTCTGGTGACTCCTTTACCTGGTGGAAATGAAGTTTTTGTATTGCCCCTTTTAATGGCTGGAAAAAGTGAGATTTACTTGGTGTTAAGTCCTGTGAGTCAAGGAGTGTGAATTAACACTTGACACCTAATTTCTTGTATTATCTCCAGCATAGCATGAGTGGTATGAGGGCAGGCAGTCATGTTTCAGGCACATGTCTGGGGTTTGCAAACCTGTGAATTTCTAGCTGTAGATAATTTTAAAGCACTTTCTTGTCTTTCTTGTTTTCTGTCTTGTCTTGATATACTTTGAGAGTAAAAGAAATTTTCAGCATGTAATATTTTAGTCATATTTTATTAATTCTTCAGGAATGATGTTCATCCAGCTGTTATGGAAATATATTTAATGGTATTTCAACTTCGCCGCAAAATCCTCTCTAGTAGAAATCGTCAAGAGACATCTCCTGATGAGGAAATAATTGATTCCGTCCTCTCACATAGCCGAAGTCATAGCCGGGAGAGGGATGAAGAGAGCAGCAGATGTGTACAAGTGGAAGATGCAGGTATTCACAACAATTTTCATTTACAAATCTTTGGAAATTCCTGGTATGTGGTCCCACTATAAATACCTTTTGTTGTAGTATGTTAATATTAATCAGATTCCTTTTGAACCCCAAAACTTGATCATCTCACAGCATTAAAATAAATTTGTTGTGTTGTGGTCTCACGATGTTGATTTAATGGGTTATGCTATAGTGGAACCGTATGTCTTAGGTTACATGTGTACTGAGGTCAGAAGGGAAGTATTAAGGGATTTTCGAACAGATGTGTTTGATTGGTAGTGTTCATAGTGTTGCTTGGCATATGTAGGGGTAGATGCTGGTATGTGAGGTCTGTGGCTGAAAGTCTAGCCACTTCGTCCTCTACAAATATGCACTGATCTTCATATGGTGAGGCACAAGTAAAAGACAAAATGAACCATTTGTGAAGGTTAATTTTCTGTTATGGAAAGCATAGAAAAGGAACAATTACAACAGGATTGTGTTGTATCAGTTATGGAATGGAGGAATCTGCTATCAGTATTATCCATTTTATACACACATACATGCACACAGTCACTTAATAACAAGGAGTTCTAAATGCATCTCTTAAAATGTACTTTCATATTGCACAGATTTCTAGTCATACAGATATTGTGTTGTTAATGTTATATTTAGGTAAGGCAAGAACATTATGTAACTGAAAAAGAATGTCACATGAGTTAGCATTTTCAGTATGTACACAGTTGGTCATACAGTTAAATCATGCTCTAGGTATTATTATTTGCAATTATACATATGCATTAGGATGATAACAGTTCTGCATGGTGTGTTTGTTTCCCCATTCATACCCGTTATGTCCGCCTTGATTATATTACCTCAACAGTACTGGAAGAAACTAATATGATAAGTCATGAATTTCATGGTAGATGCTGAAACCAGGTAACTTATTCACATATTTTATTCACTCAGGAGATGGTATAACACACTCAATGTACTAACTACTTTTAATTTCTTTATTGGGAGACAGTATTGTAAATGAATTAAAGATATGGTCTTATTCTTCTGGCATTGCTGTGTGTTGCTCCTGTAAGTGCATTGTCTCTCCCATCTAATTTACATATCTTTGCCTTACCAAATTTATCCTTCAAAGAACATTTTTCTTTTATTACAGATGAAATTCAGAGTGAAGGTGGTGGTGGTATACCTCTTGGAGTAGGGATAAATAATTATGATGAACTGTGTCATATTGTATTGCACCGCTGCATTTTCCTCCTGGCAGCTGTAAACGGACCAGACAAACCATGGTGTGAAGATGATCAAGGGCCAGATGATGAAATAGATAAGATACCAGTCAAGACTGAAGACTGCTACAGGTAAATTTAATCCAATTTAACATACTTATAATTGGTATAATGGAAATTATGCACATTAATTTATCACCAAGTCGAAAGAAGATGTCTGTCTTCTGGGTTGTTGCGCCATGTAGTCTCACCACCTTGAAAACCTCAAAATCCTACTTGATCACCAAGTTGTTTAATTATTACTATATACTTTTTGCTGGCCTCAGTATATTGATTGAACCATTTATCCTAAAGAAAGTAAGCATTTTATGTTATTCCCAGAACTTTGTTATTTTGTTTGTGTTTGTGTGTGTTTGTTTGTAACTTATCTCTACTTTATGTGAACCCTTTGTTTGTATTTTGTGACATTTATATAATAGTATGACTTGTATTTGTATAACATGTATTGTATTATTATGACTTATTCTACATCCTATTGTCATCTGACTAACTTATGGATCCATGGAATGTAATAAAGATGTATGTATGTATATTTAAGGTGTGAAGACAATGGCTTTGATTCTTTGCGCCGCCTGTGCAGATCAATTCTGCTGTTTGTATGTGCTGAACCAGGGGAGAGACAAGTTCTGCTGTGTGGTGCAGAATCAGAAAATGGCTGGAACAGTGACCCTAATAAACTTTGTACAGCCATGACTCACCAACAGATTCGAGCTGAGGTATGCATCATCCACATTTTAATGACAGTCTCAGAATGGTGTCACTCCTCTTAAGCGCAGGGCACATCCAGAATGCAAAACTTGTATAATTTCAAATTTCCTGAATGTAATTTAGGTACTTAATACTAATTATATAGAAGCTTATGAACACAGGTACTGAAATGGAGATAAATATATAAGTTCTCTGCATCAGTTAAATATTATATCTACTAATTTGTAAAAGATGTTACATTTGTAATGGAAAATCACCATGCGTTATCCTGCTTCCAAACTTTAAATGTGTCATAGCTGAATGTGACCTCTCTCTCTCAAATTTTCATAATATAAAATATGTTTCATTGGTGTAAGAGTATTAACAAGGTTCTCTTTGCACTAAGTGTTTTGGTTCATTATACTGAAATTTAATATACAGTACAGTGTTCAAACTGTGTGTACTAGTGTTAACCTTTATCATATGGCAGTAATAGTGATTTAAACCCCTGTACTACTGGGGTGCTGGCTGGATTTCAACTTTGAGGTTAACAGCAGTGGTAGGCTACTGTAATACATGGCCAACTGAATAACATGTAAGCCATGATGAACAGTCTGTAAAGATTAAAGTGCAAATAATCTGCATGCATATGTGACATTTCAGATCACGAACTACCTGCTTAAAATGTTCTTTTCATACGGATTATTTGTTGTATACTTCATTTAATTACTGGATCATAAACATAATGTGTGCCAACCTTCTTCATTACATAAAGCCCATATTTACATTTTGAGTCATAAAATGCCTTGTGTGTGACTTGGGAACATTATTTTTATTTATTGGTTTTTAAATTTATGTGTGGGTGAGTTTGAATTTAATGCTATTTTAAATAGGCTATTTTGGTAGATATTGGAATTTTTCATCCCATCTCCTTCCTGGGCTCTGTAGGTATGTTCAAGAGCTTGGTCTCGAGATACCTTTCACTAACCATAATTCCAAATAGCAGAAATACTTGTCTTATCCTCGGATGCTTTCAATAGGGTGTGGTAGGTATCATATGATTATGTAATGTTCTTCAGACAGTTATAATTTGTATATACATTTGTAATAGAGTCACAGCAGGATACAATGAATAAACAATCATAATTTGTTTAATGTTCTGAAAGATTTTTTTGATTTGGCCTTATGTTTCTTGATTTCCTTTACAGCATAGGTTGTCTGCACTCAATCAGATTTTAGAATTACTGACAAGTTCTCAGAAAGGTTCTAAGGATGGGGCAGAAAAGGAGTCAGCAGAGAAGGTGATGTCCAACACAATGTTGCTGAGTTCTGTAAGTATATTATTTTTGTTTGCATTTTTTTCACTAGATAATTATTGGTCAGAATGATAAATATTTAGTTTTTCATATAAAGCTGATTGTGATACATACATATGCAGCAACTTGTGCTCTTCTTTCCATAAAACAGAAAAGTGGATGGTAACTATGTTCTGTTATTTAGTAAAATATATTCATAATCAGACATAAACAAGTTCATGGTAAAACACCTTCCTTGTCCAAAGACAAGCCAAATGTGTTTCAGTTGGAGTACATAATTTATTATTGTTACATATTTTATATTCAAATAATTACAACTATTTTAGTAGCTCAACAGTATGTAAATTATATAATTGTAACTTGTACATGCTAAGATATTACTTGGCACAAATTAAATGGATTTAGTAAGAAGTAAACTGTTGCCCTTATGTTTAGCATTCTGTCAATAAGATGTGTAAGGGGCATGGAGGTAAATCTCCAACCATTGAAAGGCTTTGGGGCTTATGGAAGTGTTGTTCACACTCCAACTGCTTTATTCCCAGAAAAGGGCCACAATGTTTATTGGGCTGGGTTAATGGCAGGTTTTTCTGTACATGGTTGCGTAGAGAAACATTTCAGTACATCTGTTGGGATTTAATTCCCAGCCATTCAGAGTATAAACTAGTCATTTTACTGGCTGAGCTTTCACATCCATCACAATTTTGTGTATTTGAGGGTCTGACTCTTAAAATGGGGGAGATTTATATTGAGATTTTCTAACATAGATATTTCTGAAGGTCATGTAAGCGTAATGTGCTTTGTAGCTTTGTAATGCATGGTTTCAGTACAGTATTATTTCACATTCTAGGTACATCAGCAGTTACTTGCTGGATGTTTTGGTTTGTGTGCATCGGCAGGAGAAGGTCCAAGCACACAGTTATACCATTATTTGGATGGAGTCAGAGCTGCTCCCCAGTCACTTCAATTGCACATTCGCTGTTCTGTGCATCGTATCTATTCATTGCTCATCTTCTCCTTGGCTAGGGGTCAGGGTGAGATGCAGCATCATACTGGTGAGATATTATGCCAGTACAGATTAAGAAAAAAGTACACTGTTGATTTTCACATTGTCGCCATCACTTCACAGACCTCTGTTAGTTAAGGCTCATTTCATACACTATTCTGGAAGTGACCACTGATAAAAGTAAGTAAAGCTGTCCCACAGTACACCATGAAGGCACTTGGTGGGAGAGGTGGTATAGCTTCTACTCATTCTTAACCTTGGCACTAGCCTCCTGTCCAATGGGTACTGGGGACATTTCCCAGGAGTAAAGCACAGCCGGGGCATGATGCTGACCACTCACCCCCACGTAATACCTAGTGATCACTGATAGTCAGTATTTTTCTGAACTACATGATAGCGATTTAGAAGTTCTTTATTTCTCAATGTAAACAATTATAATTGATGTTGTAAATAAAATCTTAACAGCTTCGAAATAAATAAAATGATATTTAAGATACTAGATAAAATCTTGGTCAAGGCAGTTGTGTAGTTTTTGTTGTTCCATTTGCTGACATGTTTTTCTGTCTGCCTCATACTTGGTTGCACTTTTAAATTCAAAACTTACATTTTAATCAAATTAATAATTCTTTTGTGTGTCTCTTTGTGAAGTATGTTGCTTGTTATATAGAAGTATTTTCAAGCTTAATTTAAATCTATTTCTAATTGTGAAGTAACTGGATTGTTATGCATATGCAAATATAAAGTATCTTTGATTGAAGAAGTAATAATGCCAAATCTTCATAAATAGCCTCTGTGACAATCTTTTTAAAATCATTTGCACAATGCGTCCAGCTTCTAATTTGCAGACCAACATTTATAAGCCAGTTATTATAGCAATTTGTGTTATATGACTATTATGTTGGACATTGTCCATTGACTGACATGTATTTGATATAGATAGCACTAGGAATTTGGCTGAACTTCTGTTTTTGTCATTATACTTAAAAGCTTTGTTATTACGTTCTTTATTTTAATATTAGTGGTGACAGCTGGATTTGAACCTGTAATCTATTGAATACTACTAGGTGGTACACTAATCACTAGACCTGAGTTATCTTTTTAATACCAGCTTAATATTCAAAAAGTCTTGAGTTTTATCCCACTAGTGTGAAAACAAAAAATAACAAATCTTGTCAGTTTAATGAGAATCACCTGAAGGTGTAAGTTAGCCAACTTGTAAAATGTCATGTATATCAAATATACCCCAGAAAATGGACAGTGTCTGACATGATATCTGTATAATAAACCAACCATCGTCACTTTAGAGAATCAATAAGATATGTCCTATGACAATCGTAATAAGTATCCGGACTTAATTTACTCTCTGATATTTTAACTTTTTTCCATAATCCTCTAGCACTCCATCCTATTAACTCCTAATGGAAAGCGCATTAATTACCTCCACTTTGATCCTTTCAGGTAATCCTTGCTTCTGACATAACCAGGCAACTGTAAAACTAGTAATCAATCCAGGAATAAGGTCCAAGATTAAGACTGCCCTAAATATGAGTGTAAGATTGTAGAAAATTTCTTTGCCAGTTATAATCAGATTGTGAATGAAAAAATCCAGTAACTTGGTTTTGGTTCAGATTTTGAAACATTAAGATTTTGTTTTGAATAACCCCTCATTATTGTTACCAACTGTAAGATAATTGAGAATTTGCTGATTTACAATAAAAATTGTTTTTATGCTTTGGAATGTGCTATCATTATGCTGTCAGAATTTGAAGTAATTGATTTAGGAGTAAGTCCATCCCATAGTTACAGTCAGCATTCACTTTTGATGTAGTGTGTAATTTTGTATCACAAATTTCTTCATTAGAAGAGGTTGTTATGCAGGATTAATTATTTTTAAGTGTTCTGTCGGTATCATGTTTTCTTAAACAGAAGAGTGACCTTTTTATATTTGGATTGATTCTTACACATCATCCAAATAGGCATGGCATTTCTGTAGTTATATTTATCTTCTTAGAAATACATAGTTTCTGCTCTGTGTGTGACTAAAAGCAGCTAGTTAGGGGCTTTAAGAGTGCCTCAATTGAAAAGAATGGGAACCACAGTAATTAAACTCTTTGTATTTCAGGAAGCACACATCAGCTACAAATTTTAACAGTGTTTGCTCTCAGTGTTCGGTATCGACCATCTGACATTACTCTGGCTGTGTCATGCAGACTCTTGCAAATACTGGCAAGTATGTGTTCAAATCCTGTTCATCTGACCTCACCTTGCACACCACAACCACACCCACAACCAGAGCTTGCCGTGGCTAGCATGCGACTACTACATATTCTTGCTATGTCATGTGGGTAAGTTGATTTGCCCTGTCTATATGGTAATGATATAATTTGTGTTTTCATTAGGTGCTTCTTATATTTTCTTTTTGATCTACAAAAAACTGTTAAGAACTTTTAAAATGTAGAGAACTCTTAACTGTATAACATACAAATATAATGATTGTCATTCATATTTTATCACCAGGATGCAGGGCAAAATCATAATATAAAGATAGCAGATAAATCCTTTCAGAATTTAGTAAATTTAAGCACGTAATGTGAGAAAGAGTTTATAGCAGATTTTATATGGGGAATGCTTGCTGCTGTTTTGTTCAGAATCTCTTCTTTTTGTCACCTAAAAACCAAAATATGGAAATTCAAGAAAACAGTTTTACCATCTGTTTTTACTGATTTGAAACTTGGTTTATCCTTGAAAGGAAGATTATGTGTTTCCTATGTAGTTTCTGTCATACCTAATATCATATATTAACTTCTTGCCTTCTTACCATATGGAGAAAATGACATTCCTTTGTTCCAGAATGTATGCTCATCATTTAGATGCTTCTGTACTTGAAAGTGTAGTGTCATTGATTCATTCACAACTGGAACACATACTGATGTCAACACAAACTTCATGCACATCAGTTGATGCCAATAGTGATGTGTGTGACAGAGGTGGAGTTGGTAATAATTATAGTAGGATCAACAAGCGAGAACTACGTGCATCTGAACGTAGTCTTGGAGACTTTCTTGTATTTGTGAGGCGCATTGCATCAAGCCGTGTGTTAAGAAAATTGTTGGCAGGACGGAAATGGACAAACACGCTGCTAACTATCTTAGGACAACAGATTACAGGAGATGATACATCTTTACCAAGAATTCAGTCCTTAAGACCAAGACTTCTTGTCATTCACTTGTTGGCATCTGTACTTCCAAGTCTTGATCCTACCACTAGCACAGACCACAGGGAACAGGTGAGGATTATGTCCTATGTGAAATTGTAATTGAATTTTTAAAAAAAATGCAAAAATTATCTTTTCACATCATATGCATGGGGAAAACTAAAAATGCATACAAAACTTATGTTGTCTGATAGAGACCAAGATGTACAATGATGCATATTGTTTTGATGAAAAGTTTGTAAGGATATGAAGTGGGTCAACTTGTGTCAAGATATGGTGCAATGGTATTCTTTTGTGATGGCCTTATGAGTTTCATTACAATATGAATTTCTTGAGCAGATGAGTAACTCAACTCTTCAGGGAAGTCTGTGTAGCATGGAATTATGCTGGTTATATTGAAAGTTACTATTATTAGATTTCTGACTTACCATATTTTGGTATTATGAAAGGAGCACAGAATTTAGGAAACTGAATCTCTTTCCATCAGGTGAAAAGGTGGGAAGTACCTACTTAGTTGGGTGTGTTAGGAATGTCTGGACAACCATAGTCATTCGTTTGTGGATTTTTGTAGCATTTTGCAGGGTTGACTGTAATGAACAAGTTGACTTGACTACATAATAAAATCCAAAATTTCACTAACTAGCAAACTCCATGAGCATAATTCTTGTTGAAATTAACCTTTATAATGGAGAGTGTTGTTTTTTCTTTGTAGTAGAAACTGAATTTTTAAATATTTTTTAGTTAAGCTTTGGGCTTCAGAGGGTTAATTCCTTTGAATTACAGGTTGTTCGTGAATTGTTTTGTCAGCTGGCAGCCAATATGTGGAGTATCCCTCAGGCAGTGGCTGAACACCAAGCACTCATCAAACAGAGAGAACTACAAACAAAATTGTACCAGCTGAATAGCCCAGGTATAATGCCAGTATTGTCTAATTTACATGCAGACTTACAAGGAAAATATCTTCTGAGAAATAACTTATTGCTCTGTTTATTTTTATTCAGTTATTAGATTTCATGTACAGGTTAAACTTACATGTTAATTACTACTTTAACACATCAAATTTTGGATTTGAGACTTTCGCGGCAAGTACAATCAATAAAATCTTATCGGGCAATCAGCTGCGTCAACTGGTTACCGTAGTAAACCAGGTGATGCGGCTGATTGTCCGAGAAGATTTTATTGATATCAAATATTATTCTGTATATCTAAAACAATGGTAAGGCAGCGTGCAAAAACTCAGAGACCTGGACTTCACTGCACATCATGGACCATGGATTCAATTCCATGTATGTTTTATGTTGGCAGGTGACATATGGCTAGACAGTGAGCAGTGCGAAGAAAATGTTCCAGTGCGTGAAATGGGTTTTGATCCTGAAAGGTGTCTGTGTTGTACTGTGGAGGGTAACCAAACCCTTGTGCATGGGCCAGGTGGCAGAGGCTATGGGCTGGGAAACACAGGAATGGCTTCAGGTTATTATTATGCTTAAAATATATCAGTGTCATGGTGTCTGTTATTTAATGATAGTGTGCATGATGCATTTCTTTTGTACTGCAGGTTGCTACCAGTGGAAGTTTCTCATTGTGAAAGAGAACAAGGGCAATGAGGGGACTTGTGTCGGTGTGACACGTTTTCCTATAAAAGATTTCAGCCATCGTTCAACAACTGACATGTGGCTGTACAGAGCATATAGGTATAATGAAAATATAGTTTCAGTTACATCTTATTTAGTAAGTATGCTGATAGTACATCCACATTAATGCCCATATTTCACTATTACAAAGATCAGTAGGTTAATGTTGTTTAAGAAAATAATTGCTGTTTGCAGCTTGAGAATCATATGAAATTCATAAGTACAAAATACAGCAGGTGGGAAATATAGTTATCGCTTTGTTTTAAAGGGCTAATTAGCAGTTAGAATTCAGTGTGAACTAAATGGGATGATCAGAAATCATACTACATCAGAACAAAGTGGGAAGATGGAGAGGTTGTTTAAGTGATAAATTGGGGATTACAGTCTTGGAGTGTATTAAATTAAACAAATGCTGTAATACAGATAGAAAAGCTGGATTTAGTGACCTGATTGCTACACATGTTCCTATAAAAGGCAGCCATTTATCCTGTATGTGAATGCTTAAAGTACTTTGGGGGAGTTAAAATCAATTAACTAACTCCTTGGTGCAGGGCCTTCCTTCATAACTAGTTTCTGAATTATTTGATAAATTCCCTGCTTGTGTGAAACCTGAGTGTTTATTACTACGTTCATAAAAGTTCACTGTAGGACCCTACCCTAAACCTACAGAGTTCAGTCCACAACATAACACACTAGTTCTCTAAGATTGATTTGATTTTAATATTGTCTTCCCAAGTGGTCTCTTACCTTGAAGATTTCCAACAAAAATATTCCATACATTAGGTATTGAATATTGATGGGGCTATTGCAATTTTTCTTTTCCAGCGGTAACTTGTACCATAACGGGGAACTACCATTGTGCCTACCTAGTTTCACTCAGGGAGACTATATTACAGTCATACTAGATCTAGATGCTCGGACAGTTAGCTTTGGTAAGAATGGAAGTGAACCACGCCTTGCTTTTGAAGATGTGGATGCTACTGAGTTATATCCATGTGTTGTGTTTTACAGTACTAATCCTGGAGAGAAGGTAAGTTGAGGCATATATTTTTTCTAATATTCCAACATTACTGAATCATTTTATTTTGTTGAAAATGTATTGTGTTTGATTTTTAACTGTAAAGGAAAGATTATATTATGAAATTTGCAAAGTATATTTATTGCAGAGAGACAGAAAATAGTTACATAATGATGAATATAGATGATGATTTCTTTCTTTTCCCCTTTTGAGACTAGTACTTCTGATCCAAATGGTCATTAACTAACTAACTAGATGGCTTACCGAACCCGAAGGTTCATCACTGAATTAACCAAAGCCCTCCACCGGACCCTGTCCTGGGCCAACAAAATCCAGTCTCCTTCAACTCCTGTCTCCCATATCCAAATGTTCCAAATATCATATCCTTTTTCAATTGCCACGGTTGTGCCAAAGAGTCCATCCTGGTCCGAGGCTTAGTTAATGTGTTCGTAGCAATGCTTTTTTTTACAGTGAAAGGTTGTTAGCCTTACACCCAATCCCCAAGCTGGAGGAACACCCCTCGACCGCTGTCCACGACTGCTTATTCAATATATTCGCAGCTGACCTCCATACCTGGAGGCCGTCCCTCTATCCAAATGGTCGTTGAACAGTTTTTCTTTCTTTTTCAGTTGCAGTATTTAGTGCTTCCCTTTCTTAGAGATTAATCAATGAATAAACTTGTGAATAACAGTGCCCAAGTATTGGGTGGTTCTGAAAGCATTATTAACAAAAGGAGCATTCACATTAAATGTAACTAGATATTATGTTTGGTAATGAAAAGAAATTGGCTGTTTCTGTCTTGCCAGTTGTAATATTTTGACCATGTATTAAAAAACCACTGTTGGTTTGAAGATTTGAGATCTTTAAAGTTTGCAATAATATAATATATCTGTCATGTTTTCAACAAATTTCTTTATTATCACAATGCATCTGTATCTTTGTTATATTCACAAAACAATTTACAGCATGCGTTAAATTGAAAATAAACTATCATGCTTTGGTTTCATTTTATAATAGTGTGTTGAATTATGGTTGGTGATTTATAATGTAGGTCAAGATGACAGATGTGCAGGTTCGAGGAGCACCACGGGATATGTTGCCTGGTGATCCACACTGTGCACCAGTCGCAGCAGTTCTTGCTGAAGCATACATATTCTTGTTGAGAAAACTCAGCACCACTGATACCTGGAGTAGACAGGTAGAGGGTTGTTTTTATTACTCTGTATTTGTATGTGTATAGTTTTAATGCACCAACATTATGTTGTACATTGTCCATTTTTTGATGTGCATTTAATCTACCCATTGGTTTAATTTATTTTGACAAGTTCATGACATCTTTTAGTTGATTCATTGATAATGCAACTCTTCTTTTCTTCCCCAATTAATGTCAGTAAAGCTAGGTGATCAAAGTTAGGATATCCTAATTGTTAACAAGTCATTTTACTTCAAATAGTTTTAATTGTAGTGAATTTGTAATCAGACATTTTTAGAAATAAATTTTGCTGTCAGGTAAAGTTATTTATGATTATCTAAAATGGTTCAAAACTATAAATTTTTTGCTAGATTTGATTAGGTAGTTTCCATGATTAAATTTAATCAAAATCTATGGAAGAAATATCAGTTTTTCTCTGGAGTGCAGGCTTTAAATTTTAAATTTTAGTACTGGTTGAAGCTAATATTATTTTCATGATTATCAGTTCAATTGGAGTGGTTTTATTAATATATACGGACAGTGTCACTTGTGCTTTCCTTTAGATGACTAAACTTCAACACTCAAAGTTCTCAAGTTTTTTCTGTTTACACATACCTAGTTCTTCATCTCCTAGATAAGAGATGGCCATAGCTTCATCCATGGAATTATGTAGTTGAATAATGTCATTGTATGAGAACTGTTTCCAGGTTAGTGACTGCCTGGTGGAGAGATTGAATCAGACAAGAGAACTTTTGCCAGCTATACCAGAGAAGAAAAGTGAGATTTCCAATACTCTATCTGAACCCACTGTCCAAACAGAATCTCCAAGCATCCAGCTTCAAAGTATATAATTTTCTATGTGTAGTATGTTGTACAGACTTAGTGACATGTAAATTAATGAAATTACTTGACATTATTACTTTGTAATATTTCTTGTAGCCTCAGATAGAAACTGTTGGAGTATCTTTAAATGCATAACATTATTTTGCTTGTCTCTCATTACAATCTTTATCCCTATCTTTAAATATAGAGTCAATGAGCCCTGAAGGTAAACAAGATCACCTAAAGGAAGAAGGAAATAAGAATGGATATCCTACTGGAGAATCTGAGATAGATCGAGAAAATTGGTTAAAAGAAGTGAACTTAGAACAACTTTGTAAAGAGGTACCTTTGCTTGTTAATGAATTTGATATTTAGTACTTATTTTAGAAGTAATGCACCCTGTACATTAATAGACTGGAATGATATTATGTTTTTGACTCACTGCATGTTAGAAGATATCTTACATCCAAGTAATTAGTTTTTGAATGGAACTGAATGGATGTGTTGGTTTGGACAAGGTAGCAACTAGCAAATCTACATATTTTCAAAAGAAACCCCCAAAAATATACTCACAAGAATAAGTTGTGAATGTTTCTTGAGATGTGTGAAAATTATTTTATTTATACTTTGGTTATGTCTGCATTACTGGTGTACTTTATTAAGGTTTGGCCTGCTCTTGCTGTGATTGGTGGAGTCGACCGTGGATTACGTGTTGGTGGTCAGTGCATCCACAAACCATCGGGAAGAAAAGCAATTGTATTAGGTACACTGAAACAGGGCTTAGCTTCTGTCAAGTTACAGTGGGATGATGCTGAAGCAAGTGTTTGGTGAGTGCTTGTTGCTCATGCTACATTACATATATTTTATATTGCCTGAAGATATTATTTGCCACATGTATATAAGAATATGAAAAGTGCACATTTTTAGATTTATTGTAATTAACCAAAATCTTGATGTGGTGTAGTCCTTGTTTTATGGACCACCTTTTAGGCACATCCATGTAATAGAAAAAACAGTCATAGCAAGATATAATGCACTTGTTGTGTATGTACCGCTTGAAAGCAAGATATTCAATCATATATGCTCATTTGCTTCAGGAAAGTAAAAGGGGAAATCACACTTAACATAATTTTCCTTCAGTTAATATTTATCAAGGCTGTATCTTATCCTCATTGGTGTCATCTTTTGAATAGTTCAGTGTCAAGTGATAGAATAACTATGGTTTGTGTTGTGTATTGATATTCTATTTACCAGGTACCTCACTTTAATGTATGAACATTTTACTTCTTATTGCTGCATGTACTGATATTGAATTATAATAGATTTTAATTGTGTATTTTATTTTTAATAGTGATGGTTTAATAAGCTCTCTGGAGCCATGTGAACCTCCACCTTTCAATACCAGTAAGCTGAGAGACATTACTCCAGATATGTTCCTGCAGATAGCTAGACTTAGTGGTCTTACAGATGAGGTGAGTTTTTTAATTTGGTCTTAAAGCTGTTGGATTATGTACTGTATTGCAGATATGGCTGATGACCTGTAATTGTGATAATAATAATAATTTATTTACATTCCATGGATCCATAAGACAGTCAGATGACAATAGGATGTGGAAAAAGTCATAATAATAAAAATAATAATAATACAATACATATTATAAAGTACAATTCATACTATTATATAAATTTCACATAATACAAAACAAAGTATTCACCTGAAGAAATGATAAGCTACAAATAGATCTACCCATTACACACAAGAAAAATTTATCACTTATTTGTAAACAACATAAATTCAGGTTAGTTCAGGTTTTGAGCAGCTACCAATAAGGATCCAAAAACAAGACAGTTTCTTACTGTCATAAGAACCCCTTCCTTTATTAACTACCTTATTAATAACCTTCACACTGTACTTTGTTATAGTTCCGTTTTCCACAATGTGGCTTAACATCTGCAGAAATGGAACTGGTGAATTCAGAACCAGTTCCACAAGACCTGAGACGCCGTCACTCATCTGTCACTACAGATGGCTGGCGCTCATCAGCACATCATGAATCACAGTTACTTGCTGATTCCTGTAAACTTACGGCTGCCAGAACAGTTGAGTCCCTTACCAATGAGATGGTCTCGAGCATCATTGGAGAAGTAACACAAAGGCGAGGAAGTACAGAGAGACTAACACAATCTAGTTCGGACACTAGAGTTCAAGGGGAAAATGATGACAACTCTAACAGTAAAGACACTATTGTTGCAAGGTAATATATATTGTTCTGTCACAGATTAACCCTTTTGTATGTCTGTGTGGGGCACATGACATGGTCAGGTAACTGTATTTGAATATCAAGAGGTAAGACTAATGCTGCAGAACATACATGGGATTCTTATCAGCTATCATTAAATATAACAGCTTCAAGAGTAAGTCATGTGATATACATTTATATAAACTCAGTTATTCTGATTGAACAGAATAGTGTCTTTGGCAGAAGAATATTTAATATTTCAAGTACTTTTTGTGAACTTTAATTTTATAGAGGCTGTTTTGTTTCTAATAATTTGTTTTACAAAAACCTTTGTGAAATATTATAAACATTTTTCCAGGGTTGCCAATCATAAGTTATTAGAATGTGAGGTAGTGTGTCTTCAGTTAGCATTTCTTCAGCTGGCAGCTTTGAAGACCCTAGCAACACTTCTGAATTGTGGACGTTATTCTGAACTTCTGTTGGTGCCAAATGCAGTACTTCAAAATTCATATGATGGAATTGACAAAGATAAGGTAATGTTTTTAGACATAGAGCTTTGTTAAGTCAGTTTTTGATCAGGTGAACACTGTTCTGCTTTCATAGTGACTTTAATTTGGAAGTCAAAATGGCCTTGGTATGTTATTTTTGTCATTGTGAATAAGTTTTTTGATACAAATTGTGTTATGAGATATAATTTGAAAGTTCAATTCATGTGTCCAAGATTTGAGGTTCTCGTGGTGGTGAATATGTCATTCGTGATCTTCTGAGTTTTGACGCCTTATAGTCTTCTAGCTGGTTACCAAAATGTTTTGAGGAGTCTATCACATCTGTTCAAGTTTCAAGGTTTAGTAGTTGTGTTCTCTTATGAAACTTATGCTGGTTTGATGAGAGGCTCACTTTGTCCTGGGATGAGTACAAAAGTACCTCTTACCAGCCATAATATATTTAGTTTTTGGCAGAAACAAAACAGTTATTACTCTTTGCTTGACATTCTATAATCATTTTTCAGTTATCCTGATAACTGGTGCTGTACAGCTTCATAGCAATGCTGCTTTTCTTTTCTTCCCCCACTCTACTGAAGTCACCACAGAGTTATGCATTTGCTAGTGCTATTCAAACTTTGCCCAAAACAATCTTGGCATTTGACAGTTCACAGGATGTGCAGTGGTTCATAATGTTCACCATCCTTAGATGCTGTGATGAAACACAGCACAAGATATTAGAATTTAATTATATTGAATTATAAAAACTGATGGAGTTTGTCAATATATTTTATTTCACATTTGAAGCACTACAATATTAGCACGCTCTGTGTACAGGCTGAAATTAATACTGGTACTTTTAAATATGAATACCATTTTATACTAACAAAATAATGTTCATTATGAACCTGTTTTTTCTTTCTTTCTGCAGGAAATGGTTGGTAATGCTGAATTGAAGCAACAGAGGCCAGAAATGGAAACCAGTAAGGAACAAAGGGACACTGATGAGACTTTAAAGGACAGCAGCTGTCTTATGCAGGAAGAAGCCGAGCTGCGCAGTGCTCTGAAACATATCATGAGGCAAGACTCCTTGCTTACCATCAACCACATATTGATATTGTGCAAGGGGAAATGTTAATGTTTTGAACAGTGTACAAGCTCAAAAGAACACTGTATTGTAACTGAGGGTAATAGTTGTCAGGTAAAATAGTTTCTTGGTTAATGAGATGATATAATTGCTTCATATTTTTAGACCTTGCTTTTATTCCATCATATAGATAAGTTTCCTGGCAGTATCCTCAGTTCCTCCAGATAAATGTGTAGCTACTTTTTCTCCAGACTCGATCACTGCCTCATAAACTTTATAATAAAAGACTGATATATATGAAATAAATAAATAGAAATTATTAGAACAAGATCAAATTAGTTAGTTGTGACTAAGGTCAGGGCTTAGTGCTTGGTAAAGAATTGATGTATGTTCTGGTGTATGCCTTTTATATATTATCAGCACAGTATGATTAATAACTTTATTTAACTGTAATTATCCTTCAGGATACTGATTTGTTATGTTATGTGTTAGGTTCATGGTAAGCAAAAGTGTTCAGCAGTGCAGGTTGCGGTCACTTGTGAGTTTAAGTGAGCTAGAACGTGTGGAGACAGTGCTACACTCTTTGTATGTACACGCTAAGGCAGAGGAAGGTCTCCACATTCAAGAAACAGAAACGAAAATACGGAGCTTGACAAATATTCATGATGTAAATTCTGGTAGCCAGGATAATACTCAGGTGCGGTATCAGCTTTTGATTTCTGTATTTTTTATAATTTAATTTAATTGCTGTAAGTGTGGTTGTGTGCACATTGTGATGAACCTAGCCTATTAAAAGTGATTGTAATTATATGTATGGTGTCAGTATAAAAAATTATTTGTCTCCACTTTTTAATTCAAGTTTTAAGAAAGAAAGCTACAGTAAACTTTTTGTAATTGTGTTCATAAAGAATAATAATTGAAATAAAGTCAGTGTGACCAGTTTTGAAACAAAAAATTACTCCAGTTTATTTTGTGGATTTTATGTAAAATTTAAGCAGTAAAAGTGAGTTCTTTGTGATGATTTTCATCCAGTCAGGTAACTATTCTTTGAATGAATAATGAAGTCACATGGATGCTACCAGTGCAGAATCATTTGTATTCCTAATATCTATACTTCTAAGTACAGAATGTTGTGGCTGAATAGTTAGTTCTACATATTTTATTCTGAAGATCCCAGGTTCAAATCTCAGGCCAAAGAGGGCTAACCTGACTGAGGTATTTCAGGTTTTACCTCAGCCCTTCCAGGCAAATGCTGGGATTATACCTTAAATTAGGCTATGACTCTTACCTTCTTTATCAATTGCATTTCATCATTAATCCTACCAGTCAGCACTAAATAGTCTGACCTACTGAGTATCAGTAAACCACATATAAATAAATAAACAAGTATATAAGTAAATTACCTTTGAGTGCTGTTAATTGTGGTATTTTTAAATTTCTTCAAGGAATGAGGAATTTAATATTCACGGATGAAACTGTTAGTTATACTGTTGTACATACATAAATATATTGTGATAATATGCAGTTTTTAACTGTGTTTTGTCTGCTGCGAAGGTTGTACACTATCAAAAGACAGGATGATTATGAATGATAAGTGGGAAGTATCAGATGCATAAACAGATATATGCAAACAAACAATTACTTTCATAAAGCAATAGTTTGACAACATGTTAGAGGCCTCATTTTGATATATGTCTGTTCCTTTTTGCAGGATTCTTCAGCAGTACAACGCTCACAACACAATTGCACTACTACACCAGCCCCTCATTCTCCATCGCCCTCATCCCTGTCTCGCCTTGTCCGTCGTATCTCACCATTCGTTCCTCCTTCATCTTTACCTTTAGCAGCAGCTCTCTGTAGCTTCTCTGAGTTTTCTTCACCACAGTTGACATCACCATCACTATCCAATAGACTGACACCTCAGTCAGCCCCACTCTTGAGAGTTCATCGCTTGCGCACTCCTTCGCCTCCACCACCACCCATTGCTGCTCCTCTTATGGAGATGGGATTCTCCCTTAAGCATGTACAGAAAGCCATCAATGCCACAGGTAAGCATTAAAAGTATAAATGTGGAATGTTACCACTTCAACACATTTGTAAACATCATGTATATCCAGCTGGCTGATTTTGGATAATGAAGTTAAAATAAAAGTATTTGTGCACTTGAAATTGCTTGCTTCTAACTGAATGGATTTTCATGAAATGGAATATTGCCAGCTGCAACAAAAAATATATTGACTATATTAAAGTTTAATTTAAACTAAACAGTCTGAGCTGTCACTTTACATGAATCCCATCTTTGGAATAAAGAACTATTATTGTGTTCTATTTACAGACTTTAATGAAGTTTAACATAGGACACTATAATGAATTCCAATTCCAACGTGATATTTTTGGACAAATGAATTTTAAACCTGTTATTTATGTTTTATAGTGTAAGATTTGTTAGTCACCAGAGTAAATAATAACGTATACAAAGTTCATAGGATCCATGAATGTTGTCATTTCTTATTATGTATGTTTGTTTCATTTGACAAGTTCTTTTTGGATAAATGTTCACTGTAGGCTGACCTGGACTTTTATTAAGAAGCTCACTAAATGATTACAATGAGTGTTTTATTATCCAGTCCTAGAATAGCACTTACTTTTCCCTTTTACTGTTTCCTTCTATGTTCTTTCCATTTCATTATTTGTAATCAATCTGCATAATATTTGCAGTTGATAAATTGTTATTAAATAAACTGATAAAGAAAGAATGAAACCTTACCTTTATGGTCCCCATGGTTTTTCTTGTTATAGGTTGCTTGTCAATTTTCAACAGAGTGAATTTTCATTACAAAAACTACTCTTAATAAATAAATAATTACTCTTTCTTCTATAAAGTCACAATTAAAATTTACTTTATCTGTGTATAGGTAGTACTGGTGACATGTCAGCTCATACTATTAGTCAGCTGGCTACATGGATGATAGAACATCCATGTATTGACTCAGAGGTCCTGGAGGGAAGAGGAGATGATTCAGGACACTCATCAGGATCTGAGATTGCACTCAGTAGGGCACAGGTAATTCATTTGTACTTAATATTACAAATATTTAAATTTTGCACTGTTGCAAGCCACTCTGTAACAAAACTTTTTCCACTCATTTCTATTCCCCCATTTCTATTCAGTTTTATTGCATTTCTTCCTTATATTTCCAACATATTTCTTAACTTCATACTTCTGTTTTCCTCCTTTGCTTTCTGTTGGACTTCTGTCACTTATTTTCAGTTATACTGCTATGTTTGATAAACTTGCATCTTCATTCTCAGTACTTATCCAAACTATTGTTTTCCTTTACTTTATTTCTAGTGAATTCTCTCCACCCATTCTACATGTTTTAAATTTTTCACTCTATCACATGTCTGTATAGTCTAAAAGAAGGCAAGGCCCACTTTTCACTCACATGTCTGTAGAAATGTACAAAGACTGTGGCTACCTACTTTATTCAGAATGAAATTTTTGTAAGAAAGTTGGCAACATTTGTTCTTCCCAAAACATTTTATTTCATTTTATTTTACTATTTTTCCAACCATTAATTAATTTTCCCCACAACTAGATATTAAATTGTCAATGAATTCCTTTTAAGTTTAAATTTCACCAATGATACCAATGTGGAAAATTAATTATTTAGCACAATAATATGAGAAACTAATTATGTTGTACTAATGAAATTTGGTTTATTTTTTGTATTCTTTAAATAATTGTGAAATAACATTGGATTGATAACTTATAAACCCATATTGTGCATACTTTATTTAGACCGTAGATGTCAGCCAGTGTTCTCCAGACCTTGACTTGGGAGTTGGTCGTCGGACAGGACTTGGACCAAAAAGAAGAGCATGTACTGATATTCGCAGTTATCTAGCTGAGAGGGCAGGTAACATGAAAGAAACAAAATTAAAGTTTCAAAATGTGGAAACAAATATGGTAGAAGTGTTAAAGTTAGGAAAATAGAATTGACAATACTTGCTGTGGTTAAGAATGAGTAGAAGCTATATGGCCTCTCCCCTCAAGTGCCTACAAGGCATTTAGTGGGACATTTGGTTGTTGTTATTATGTTTTTAGTTTTAGAATTGACACTACATGTGAAAAGTTATTATTTTAATATATATATATATATATATATATATACAGTGAAACCTCGATGCATCGTTTTCGGCGGGGGTGGGAAATAAAAACGATGAATGCGGGAAAACGATAGATGCGGGAAAGCATTAAAAA